GGCAGTGGCAAGTAGCAACCGCCCACAGATGCCGCCAGCAGCATCAGTGGTGTTTTTTGCAGGAGGTGCACCACCAATGGGCAAGGCAGCGTGAGGGCATCCCTGATGCAAAACAACCGCTATTCCTCCCAACTCAGCCAAGGACAAAGCACATGCAGGCACCAGACAAATCGCTTTAAGGACACCCTCAAAGCAAACATTAAGACATGTGGCATTGACTCCATAAACTGGGAAACACTAGCCCAGAAGAGGGCTACCTGGCGACGCCTTGTGAGAAAAGGTTCATCTTTCTTTAAGGAAAACTCTCTCCCTGGAAGCAGAAAAATGACAGGAACAGAAGGAAAGACAACAGATCTGAGAAATCCCTGGTCTGACCCTCCCTTTAACCACCACCTGTGGCATTTGCCAGAAAGTGGCTCTAGGGTCAGCCTCAGTCTTCAGTCGACTCATTTACAACCCTTTATTTGAGACATGGGATTGTGAGAGATCCCCAGCAACCAGGGAGACCTAAAAGCCCAGGCTCCTTTGTTCACACCAGAAGTTGGGGAGGGTAAATGTGACTATTCCAGCCTGGTGCCACCCCCCATGGAGAGATACCACAGGCCCAGGGAGGCGAGAAGCAATTGCTCCACCTCCCCAGTGGGGCCTGTGTTCCCAGGCGGGGGTGCTGCTCTGGGGGTGTTGATGCACGCCAGGCTGGGGTGGCACTGCGTGCTCAGGAAAGGTGGCGTAGAGCACGGCTACATTCGGACTTTATGGAAATGGTAAACTCCTCCCTAGCATCGCTCCTGCGGCCATACCGCTGAGGGCAAGCGAAATTCGGGGGCATCCAAGCCCCAAGTCTCTGGGCTGGGACCTGCACTAGGATGCCTGCTATAGGATTTGGAAGCATCTGAAGCCCCAGGCAGGGTGGAGGAGGGCCACACATGGTTCTTGGATGATTCAAGTGGATTTGGACCTCATCTGGCTAATTTGACAAGAGACATGAAAAATGTTCCTAAAAAAAAAGGCTACTTGTTCTGGAGCCCACCCTGAACTTGCACCATGATGGGCTACAGCAGGCTTGAGCTGGCTGGGCAGTGCCATCAGTATCCGGCTGAGCCTGAGTCTAGCCCAGGCTTGTGTGAGGATCTGAGTGGAGCCTTTTCTTAAAAAGTCTACACAGAGGAAGCTTCTCGGGTAACATGCGCTGGCCAAACGCAGTGATCAACATTTATACATAATAATAGACAAATCCTAGATTTGCTGAGGCTCAGCCTATCGAATAGTAACATAAGGGTAGCATTTCAAAACAACTTTGACAGATTAGTTTCCGTAGTGTAGTGGTTATCACGTTCGCCTAACACGCGAAAGGTCCCCGGTTCGAAACCGGGCGGAAACAAAACTGTTTTGCTTCCCTAGCTGCTGCGCTGAAGTCGTTTTAAAGCCTTTTTTTTTTTGTTTTGACAAGCACACATTGTACTATACGAAGACAACTGTTCATTCGATTATTGACCTGACAACAGCATGAATTTCCTCGGTTGTATATTACCATTTTGTCTGGTAGGATGTTCTGTTCCCACTTCGCAGGCACAAGTTCTTGGGAACCTGCAACATGCTTAGTTTAAGTATTATGCGGAAAAATCAAATAACTTAAAAACGGTGTTACTAATTATTGCGTGTGCCCTAGGGAAATCCGTTTCAAATTAACTGGCATTTATTTGCTAAATTCGTTTTTAAACATAAGCTTAAACAAGTTTAGAAAAGTGACACACATGATATTTAAAGCACAATCTTGGGATTCAGAATTCACGTGTGTGTGTTTATTTTGTAGTTGTACATGTCTTGCATTATAAAATCGTAGAGGCAACATCACAGCCATGAATGTAATAGTCTTCTAACTAAAATATTATTTCCTGCTTTCTTTGTTGATAATGATTTTTAATTTAATATTAAAGGTGATTTTCTCTTTTGTTCTGTTACCACTATGGAACATAAAGCAATTAATAATGTATATTCAATAGTAACTAATTTATTCATTACCCAAATCATATTAATATTTGAAAATGATAAACTGTGGTTCTGCAAAGCTTTCTATGCTAATCAATCAAAGAAAGGTGATTTTTTTTAAAATGTGACATTGTCTCTGAACTGTATTATTTGTTAATTATATACCTTAATACTGTAAAAACATGCTTAGTATCTGCCTGCTTTTCATCAGGCCCTATTGTGATCAAATAAAATTAGGTTTGCACATAGTATTTTCAGGCTCTGCACAGTAGTATGGCTGGTGTTATGGGCGGAAACTATATTTTTCCAGTTTGAAAGGTACAGACATACTGGTGGTGCTTAACAACTAACATATACTATAACAAGCAGTTACAAAACTAATGTTGCAAATAATTTTTAATGAATGTCAATCAGTGTCAATCCTATTGATTTATGAAATGCAAGGTTAGAAAAAAAATGCTACAGAACAACACACACACAAAAGGCAGCAAAAATCACAAAAAAAAACCAAAAAAAACCCACAAAACAAAAACCGTTATAGCCAATTAAACATTTAATTCAGTTCATTCACTGTGATAAAACCTTTAAAACAGTCTGATTTAAGGAAATACTGAACTGCCTACATTTATTCTAAATGCCACTAGCCTAAGCTCTGACCTGAATAGATGCATCTCTTCCTATTTATGACACAATGGGAGCCCTGCCACAGCTAAAACTGACACAATAGACACAAAAGTGCGAACACTTAATAAGTTATGAGGATAATATGCAACCTGGACACTGATGTCAGTGTATCGTTATTTATTAATATAGTGCTCTGACTTAATTCATGGAAGCAATAAAGTGAGCTAGAAATCAGTACAAAAGAGCTAAATAAGCAAGCTCCCAGTGAACACTGGGGGACAATTACAAAGCAATGGCTTCAGGCCAAAGTGATACCATTTGTACCATGCTGGGCACCAATTATATTTCCTGGGTGTGAGAACAACACTAAATAGCAGTAGTTAAAAAGGCAGGAAAAAGGGTGTCGATTTTTAGAGGCTGGCCGGGGAGACCTTTTGGTCATGACCCGGCCCCTTGCAGACTCCTCTATTTGTCTGCAAATTGTCTGCAAATGTCCTATTGTTGAGGGCACACACACTCTAGAAAACAATAAGCAAACTATAGTGCCTGCTTTAGTGCCCATCTGGCTTGTTCTCATATGATGCCCCTTGCAGACTCCTCTGTTTGTCAGTAAATAGAGTTTGCAAGGGCCCTCATATGAGAGCTAGCCAGACATGCACCAAAGCAGGCACATACAGTCTGCTTATTGTTTCCTTGGATTGTTTGTGTCCTCCCTAGTTAGGACTAACATTGTTCCAGGAATGAAGAAAGCTACAGGTGATGGACACAAATCAGAATTGCCTGGGTGATCCGACTTGATCCGCTGTCTGCAGCTAGGCTCCAGTTTCAGAGTTCTGTGATTCTTTTTTGAGGTCCCTGACGATGCCAGGCCCTGGGAGTGCACCACTGAGAGGCAGACTTAGCCCAGGGGTGGGGACAGATGCAAAAGGTTTTTCTTTAAAGCAGCCCTCTGCATCCTCCACACACATCATCAGCTCAGCTTGAAAATGCCAGCCAGGTAAGCAACCGCTGGCATTTGTGTTGCAGTTCTGAACAAAGTTTATCAATATCTCCCCCAGCAACTGCTCTCCTTATCCCTTAAATGACCTCTAAGGGATACTTTATAGTCTTATAATTAACTATTTAATTTGCCGTATCAGGAAAACTGGGAAGTGCAGGATTGTCAGTGAAATCTGCAAAATCAGCAACAGAAAAAAATGTAATAAAAATAAAATGCTGGCTCCCCAGTGGAAGCCGGCAGTCCACACTGTCAGGAGAGGAAGGTGCCAGCTGGCAAGGTGGCATGAAGGGCAGATGATAAGACAGCATCTACCCTTGTGTGTCCCCATCTCTGCCACTCTGCCTGCCCGTGCTGAAGGAAGAAGTCCCCACAAACTGCTGAGTGGGCCACGAAAAACCCTTTGTTTTGCCACGATTTAAGTAGGTCCCTGCTTATAATGCTTGTTTTGGAAAGGTTGGCAAGGGTGGATTTGGAAACGGGGGTGCAGAGGGGCGAAGTGCAGTTTTCCAATAAAACAACGCACTTTTCTGCAGTTAAGAATAAACTTGAAGCTGTACTGATGCTAGGGCCCAGCACGGGATCTTCCCATTTTAAGACTAAAGCAACAACAAATAGAACCAAATCGAAAGAGGTTAAAAAGCGCAGCTGGAGGCCTGCGAAACAGGCTGAGCAGGGCAGGGCTAAGGGCAGCGCCGGACTGTGACATGCTGAAGCCCTAAATAAACTATGTCCAGCTCAAGACGCCCCAATGTATGTATATTTTTGTCATATTAGAACAGAAATGTCCATATTTAGACAAAAAGGAAATCAGGACTCGTAGCAGAGCTGATATCTGTTATTAGATATAATACAATAAAATAAAAAATAAAAGATATCAGCTCTACTAGGAGTCCTGATTCCTTTCTCCTCTAGACCAAGGCAGCTACAACTTGGATACCTGACATTTTGGAGAATCATTTTCCCATATCTCCTTTATTTAAAACTTATTATTATAAGTGTTATTATAAAACTTGATATTGAGTCAAGTTTTGGTTTTCTTATTTAGAGGCCCCTCACATTGTGGGGCCCTAAACTGTAGCTTAAGACTAAATCTGGCACTGGCACCACGGCTGGAACACCCCGGCCATTACGCACAGAGCGGCGCCACCACGTGCGGAAGAACGAGAACGAGCGAGAGGACGTCGAGTACATCGCAGGTACCCCGGCGGGGAAGGGCGCCAATGGGGAGCGACCCCTTCCCGGACTACACTTCCCGTCGTGCTCCGCGTGCTGCCCCGGGCTCCGGCTGCCGGTGGCGCGGTGCCTGCTGGAGAATGTAGTCCGCTTGCGCCCCGGTCCGGCACGGCCCAGTCTTCCCCACGCCGCTCCCGGCCCGGGGCGGAAGTGAGGTCCCGGAAGCGGCGTGTGCGGCGTCATCACAAAATGGCGGCCTGAGGTGAACGTGAGTCTCCCTCCCCTCAGGTGTGTGCGGAGTGTTTCCGTGCCCGGCCGGGGCCCGGCCCCCAGCACCCGGTCCAAGGCCTGTGGGAGGGGCAGGCGGAGCCGTTGGGCCCGGAGCGGGATCCAGGCGAGGGGGGCGGAACCAAGACCCCGGGGGGCGGGGGGACGCCGCCACTCAGCCAGGCCTCGGGACCGAACCAGCTGGGGGGAGGGGGGGTCAGCTTTGTGGGCTCTGAAGAGGGGGAAGAGAAACTAAGTAGCTGCCTACGGCTGGGGGAGGGCGGCGACTGGGGTGGAACCAGTTGGGTTCTAGCCCCTCTTGTCCACTGGAGGCTGCTGCCGGGAGACGCCCAGTCCTGGTGGGCCTGGAAACCGCATCCCCTGCACTCCAGCACACCCCATACACCCCCTGGCCCCGACCCCCACAAAGCCTGCCTCCCAACCCAGCCACACAGGCACAGGGTTGTGAGCTCAGTGTTGGATGCTGGGGTTGGCTAGTACAGGGCAAAGGGAACTGGTCACAGCATTACCCCTGGGACTATAAACTGGTCTAGTCCATAGTCACAGCCCCCTGATGCAGATACCGTTTCCTGGCCAGAGCAAGGGCTGTGGCAAAGGCTCAGCTTGCTGCATCCCACCTGCTGCCATAGAGCAGCCCAGTGTTTGGGAATTTCAGACGCTGAAGTGGATCTTGACAACATCACGTTGCGGTTGGTCTTGCTTTCCTTTTTAAGCAGGATCTGCTGCCTGTGAAGCAGGCTGTATTCAGGGGCAGCTGACTGTTTCATTTAAATAGCCTTTTGTACCTTATTTCTGGCTGAGCTGGCATGGTAGGCTGATGCCCTTAGACATGTGAACAGGTCGCTTAGCACTTGGACTGAGGCCGTTACAGGGCTCTGGTGGCGTAGCTGTCAGTTGGGGGAGGGTGAACAGAGGTTGTCTATAACTGATGTGGTGCTGTCAGGAAAGCTGTTGTGTGGCTGCAGCTCTGCTGGCAGAAGTATATGTCTTCTGGCAAAACATTTGCTGCTCAGGAAGCTGCTGTAACACTGGCTTCAGAAGAGCAGCAGTGTACACCAGCAGTTTTTAGGATGGCACCAGCTGTCCAATAAACATAGCACAGCTCCACAGGTGGAGAGAGAGCTCCTGTCCCTTCCCACTCCTTGCATTTATCTGTATAAAGACTAGCAGCTCCCCTGCTCTGGTTCTGGTTGTTTTGCACAAAGCTTATTGTATGCAAAGTGTTCTGCACCAGTTATAGGACTGGGACTGGGTCCTGAGTTTCCTCATAGGGACTTTACTCTGTCTGAAGAACACGTCATCTAGCTAAACAAGTTCCTTTGTTCTTTTTTAGGCCAGAGAGATTAAGCCGCAGCCTGTCACCAAGATGCAGTACTCCCATCACTGTGAGCATCTTCTGGAAAGACTGAACAAGCAGCGAGAAGCAGGCTTTCTGTGCGACTGCACTGTAGTGATTGGTGAATTCCAGTTCAAAGCTCACCGAAATGTGCTTGCCTCATTCAGCGAGTACTTTGGTGCATTTTACAGAGATGCCTCTGACAGTAATGTCGTTTTGGATCAGACTCAAGTAAAGGCTGATGGGTTCCAGAAACTTCTGGAGTTTATCTACACAGGAAACTTGAACCTTGACAGGTAGCGTATGCTTTTAAAGCGGGGGGAGAAAATAAAAGAAAATTGGTTGATGAGTTCAGTTTCTATTGCATCTCCTTGTTCTTTGCAGTAAATTATGAAAAATCAAATTTACTATCAGATAGGATACATGCAGAGAAAACATCAGCTGTTTATATGGCTTCAGATGTAGCCAGGTATGTATGATTCTGCATAGCAACCTACTGGGAGCCCTGTGTTATTTTCACTACAACGTGTGCAGCGGTGGTGCCAAGTCTGAATAGAATAAATTGAAACTAGTTTCCTGCTTTTTCTTTCATGGCCAGGTGTCTAAATTCATATCAACTGCCCCATTTGCTGTCATCTAGGTGTGGCTAAGGGCTAGTTGTAGCATCCTTTGCTTCTGTTCTCATTCAGCCACTCAAGCTCTACCTATATTGCATTTTTTATGTAGGTGCCAAACTTACCATGATCCCAGTGAGATCATGTGATCTAGAGGTCCTATCTACCATTGTTCTGGACCTTCCACTAAAAAAGCTTTTCTACACTGTTTACTTAAGCCACCCAGAAACTGTTTATAGTTTTCAGGAATTAAAACAGTCCACATCAATATTAAAAGTCACATTGCATAATCACATTGTTAGAGGTAAAGCTGGAATTAACATCCATCCTTACATGTAAACGTCCTGTTTACATTTTCTCTGAGGTAATGTGACACAATGATTTTGTGGTGGTTTTCAGAGTCTTTGAGTCTGTTGTCTGGAAAGTCAGATGTGTCCTCCACAATTTCTTACAGAGGGCAAACAATTTAATTCTTTCCAGACCCCAGCAGACAGAATATGTTGGAGAGGTAAAGAACAAAGTTTCAGAGACATCCTCACTTAAAAAAAAAAAAAAAAAAGAAAGAAAACAACAAAAACCCAGACACTAATCTGAATTTGGTTTAGTTCTAACTGTTCCAGCTGGCACCCAAAATTACTGTATCTGAAGAAATTATGGGAAAAAAATACTTCTGTATCTTTTAATTGGTTGACT